TAAGAGGTAATGTGCCCCAAACCACACAGGAGATATAAAAAAGTAGAAAACATTCAGATCCATATTCTTTGGTAGTAGTTATGCTTTCACTCATTTCTTAAACTGGTCTTAGTAGCAATTTCCAGAAATATCTCATGTGGACATTTTTTTTTTTTTGACTTGAAAATGATGAAAATAGATTTTTTTAAAAAAAAATGATGAGAAAGAATATTTTTTGTAATTCAGTATCTCATAATAACATGTTTTGACAGTTTACCCTAACTTTTATATTGGCTGTTAGCTAGAACAGTCAGTAAATTAGCAAGGCCTTTTCCACTAGGTCTTTTTTACAATTATAATTATAAATGTAGTCTTTCTTACCCTTATCTGAAAGTGAATTTAGCATAAAAGTACATTTTTAAAGCAGTTTTTTATAGATTCTCAAGTCTGAGAGAGGAAATTTTGACTTCTGCTATCTTGCCTCTGTCTAGTTTCAGGCTTCTAAGAACAAATTGAAGTGAAAAGAATACATATGAGACGTTGAATAAGGGTGAATGCTAAGCTATAGTTGCATGCAACAGCTATTAAACATCTCAAAAAGACATCAAAAGCAGTCCTAAAATTTTGTTGTTGTTGTTAGAGAAATGTTGTTAAGTGGAGAACAAAGGCGGTTTATAAAATAGTTATATATAACTGTAATGAGAGCTTATCTTTTACAAAAATGCACATGTAGGTGTATGTGTATACAGAGGAAAACTCTGGAAATTTATCCCAAATATTAAAACTAATTTTTTTCCCTGGGTCCTGGGATTTCATGGGATTATTATTTCTGTTCACTTAATTTCTAATTCTGTATTTTCGAATTTCCTTACAATGAAGATATATTTGGTCAGAAGACTAAAGGTTTTCTTTTATTTTGATTAATGCTTACTTAAATGTTACAGAGAATTGAATTTGGAGCGGAGGGAGGACCAGCGCAAAGTCCAGAATGATTGCAAATGACAGGTTCTCCAGGTTGAACAGAATATGGGGGCAGGAGTTCATCTGATACTGGAGTGGGGTTTTGTTTGTTTGTTTGTGTGTGAGTTCTTTTTCGTTGTGTGGTGACAATGCAATCACAGAAGAATAATTTGCAGTTGTTCTGAAAACTGAATTTTTCCCCCCTTGCTTCTAGAGACCCCTCTCTGAGAAATTAAGGTCTAGGCTTGAAGCAATTATGCACTGGGTAGGAAGGGCAAATGCAAAGTAAGGAGGGAACATAAAGATCTCTGCCCTTAGAAGTACTATTCTCCTCTCCTTGGTTAAATTTGGTTGAATTTAAATTCTCTTATTTGTTTATTCTCTTTCTTTTAACAAAAACCTAGAGCACTTTCTCTACCCTGATTAAACTATGGGAGAGAAAAAGAAAAGTCAGCCCTGACCTAGGAGCTAACAATCCAGTTGAGTAAACAAGGCACATATTGGAAAAGTCAACTAAAAGTAGGGGGGCAGTAAGCACTTAGGCATTAAGTGACTCACAAAGAAAAGTCCTACAGCAGTTAAGGAGTGGCTGGTAACTTTACTGTGGTCACGGTCTAGATCAGCACTGTTCAACAGAACTTTCTACAGTGATGGAAATCTTCATTCTGTGCTGATTAGCACAGTAGCCGCTAGCCACATGTGATTATTGAGTACTTGAAAAGTGGTTAGGAGAACTGAGGAACTGAGTTTTTAATTTTATTTAATGTAAATAGCTACATACAGCTGGTGACTACCATATCGAAAAGCGCAGGCCAAGATCTAGAGGGCATCAATAGTTAAAAGTAGGACTTGTTACTCGAAGGAAGAGAAGAATTTGAATAGCTGAGAATAAAGAAAAGATTCCAGCAGAAAAAGCATGAATGAGTTGTGCTCAATTCACATTGAAAGTGTGAAAGCGTTTGGATGCGGGTGTGTGAAAGTGCGGGTGTTTGGATGGGAGACTGTTATGGGTTGCTACCCTGGGCAGACCATGCAGCTGAGAGTTAGGATTTGAAGCTGTAGGTAATGGGGAGTCATTGGTTTCTTTCTTCCTTTTTTTAATTGAGGTGTAATTGACATATAACATTATATTTGTTTCAGGTGTACAACATAATGATTCAATATTTATATAATTATTTCTGATTAGTGGATAATAATAGCTTTTACCATGTGCCTGGGATTACGTTGACCGCCTTGTATGGATTATCTGATTTAATTATTGTAACAGACTTTTGAGAGGAATGAAGATTCATTTGGTGGCACTGTAGGGATAAGAGATCAAAGGCAGGTAGGAGAAGCAATTATAATCTTGGGATATATCAAAGGTACTGATGAAGGTAAAGGATGTAGAAGTTAAAAAGCCTCACTTAAGACATTAGGAAGTTAGACTCAACAGAACTTGACGACTGACTAGGTGTGGAGGCTGAATGAAACAGTGAGTGAAACAATCTGTATCCCTAGGGATACGGATGAGGACAAAATCCTGGGGAGCGTCAATGATTCTGGGGTGAATGAAGGCAGCGACTTAGCAAAGGATCTTGAGAAGGATGTACATGGGTGGCAATGGAAACAGGTTAGTGGAGTCAAGGAATCTGGTAGAGGAAAGGTTTTCAAGAGTCCTACAGTTAAGTAAAAACTGGGAGACTTAAGATAATGCTGACAAAAACTGAGGAGTCAAGGGGAGGAAAGTCGGTATTGGAAGGGAAATATGAATTCTATTTTGGACATGTTGATTGAAGGTAATGAGTCCTCTGGATGATGTTTTGCTGGCTGGAGGGAAATGTTAAGCTGGAATTTATAAGGCAGTTGAGGGCTGGAGAGGGGCAATTATAATGTGCTCTCCCAGGTCAGCAGGTAAAGCGAAAAGAGAAGGTTGAGGATAGAACCTGGAGCGAATGTCCACCCACAGGGAGGGCTAGATAAGAAAGAAGAACCAGCAAGGGAGAGGGGGTGACTGAGCCATACCATGCCCTGGAGGTCAAGGGAGAATTTTAAAGGTGAAAGTGAGTCAAAATTTTCACGTGTTACACTGAAGTCAAGGAAGAAAAAAGACCTAGAAAAGAGTGACTGAGCTTATCAAGGAGACCCTTGGAGAAAAGGGAGAAACAAGTGTAGAGGATTCGTCTGGGCAGTTTGGCAGTGAAAGGACTGAGAGGAGAAACGAAACAGCTTGAGGGAGGTTAAATGAAGATCCCCCCTAAAACCCCCAGGTAGGTCAAACCCACTCAGCCTCGAAGCAGAAAGGAAGAACCCAGTGCAAAAGGAGGAAGATCTGGCCAGAGGTGAGATGAAGCCAGCAGGCCCAAGGGTTGGAGGCTTAGGAATGGAGAAGGGACTCCTGTTCCTTTGGGTACTTGACAACAGTTCAGAAAACGGATGGTACAGACAGAAATACTTTGAGAAGAGTGGGAGAGGGTGTTGGAGCTGGATGTTTTTTATCTTCTCAGTGAAGCAGGAATCAGGGCCATCTGCCAAGAAAGAGGGGAGATAGGAAAATAGGTTAGGTGGGGAGGACAAAGGAGATATGTAACAGCAACAGCTGGGGTGCCTTTGAGAATCACCAAGAAATGAATAAAAGGACTGGGGGCTAGCCCAACGTTATTCCACGACTTTAAGCTGCCATCTCAGATTTACTTCTGGGAACTGACAATGGTAACAATCACCACTACCATTTATCATGTGGCTATCATGTGCTTATTATGGGCATTTTACATGTATTATCTCAATTTTCCTAAGAATGTAATGAAGTATATATTCCAGTTACTTCCAAATTATAAAAAAAGGGAATTGAGGCTCAAAAAGGTTTTGCCTTAAAAAAAAAAAAAAAAAAAGATGGCCTACTATGTTGCCAGGCACCGTTCTGGGCACAAAAAAAGACAGGCAAGGGGCCTGCCCTCGTGGAGTTTTTATTAAAGTAGTGCAGATAGAGAAGTAAGTGAATAAATGAATGAGATAATTTCAGATTTTAATAAGTGGTGTGAAAATAAAACTGGTGATATCATAGGTGCTATAATAAATACGATACAGCAGTGGAGGAGGGCGTACGGAAGGTAAAGGCTATATTAGTGTGGTCAGGGGAGGACCCTCTGAGGGGACACGGGAGCCGAGACCTTTAGGATGAGAAAGGTGGAAGAGTTTTCCAGACCAAGGGAAGGCTAAGTGCACAGGCCTTGAGGCAGTGACTGGCTCGGCCCTTGGAGGAACTAAGGGGAGCGCAGCTGCAGCTTAGCGAGCAGAGGGCTACAGGCCACGGTTAGAGGCGCCCCAGCAAGGCAGGCTTTACACAAAGCGGGTAACTTCCGGTTCGATGGAGTCGGGCGCCTCGAGGCAGGGGCCACGCAACTTCTTTCCGTTCCGCGAAGCTGCCCGCACAGGGCACGGGAGTGAGGCAACCGGTCAGGAAGGTTTCTGGCCCAGGGGCCAAGGGGCCAGGGCGTCGGGGGTGGGGAGTGTGACCTCCGGGTGTCGCAAGCGTCAAGGCGGCACCGCCGGCCGCCCGGACGCCCTCCCGGCGCGAGCCCGCGCGCTAGCCAGCAGCCCCCGCCCTACTCCGCGCCTTTAACTCGCGGTAGCGACCCCCGCTAGCGGCACCACCCACTGCCCGGCCCGGCTGGGTTTTCCGTCCGGGGCGGCCAGTCCGTCTTCCAAAACTTCGGAACGACGGTACCCCCAGGTCTGATGGGGAGATGAAATAACTTATGGCCAGAGCGCAGTCCTATGGAAAACAGACCTTTCGACTTCTGTCTTGTTTTCCCTCATATCTTTCCAAAAACGACTTGTTTCCCGATATGCTCTCTAACGCACCCCCTCCAACAGCGAGACTGTTGGTTTGGCCCCTAGGCCCGGATTGGCTGAAGGTTTACGCCGCGGCCAGGGATTGGAGGACGTCGGTTCCTTACGTATGCCCCGCGCCTATTGGCTCGTTTTCCCAGTTTCTGGGCGGGGTGTGACGGGACGGTTTCCACCCTCTTGTTTACGGAGCGCGCAGTTGTAGCGCTCTCGGAGCGCTGGGGCTGTCTCCAAAGTTCCCTATTTAGCTCCTCGGACCAATTGGGTCCTTGCTCCACCCTCGCCCTCTCCCTCGCACGCCTCCCGCGTGATACCGCCCACACCTTTAGAGCTGACGACCGCGCGGCGTTCCTCCGCCCGCGCTCGCTCGGCTGCTCCCCCTCCAGGGTGCGCTTGGTACGGCCCGCGCCGCCTACTTCCCTCGCTGGGGTGGCTGCCCCCCTTCGGGTCGGCGGCGCTTGGTGCCGCCCCGGAGAACCAGGTCATCGGTCGGTTCCGGTGAAAACAAAAACAATCGGCGGCGCCGCGGCGGGCTGCTGAGCGCGGCGAGCGGGAACGCAGGGTCGGGGTCGAGGGGCGAGCAGGAGTGCGGCGACGCGTCGGGGGCCGGGGCACCATGGGGCAGGCGGGCTCGGGCTGTGCGGGGCTCCCGCGGCGCCGCGGCTAGCGCGCCTGCCGCCTCGGTCGCCTCAGCCGCCCGCGCCGCCCGCCTGGGGGACGAGGAGCAGGACGCGGCCTCGGCCGGGCCCGGGCCGAACGGCTGCGGACACCCGGGCGCCGGGGAGCCGAGCACCGCTGCCGCCGCCTCCGGGATGGATCAGTGCGTGACGGTGGAGCGCGAGCTGGAGAAGGTGCTGCACAAGTTCTCGGGCTACGGGCAGCTGTGCGAGCGCGGCCTGGAGGAGCTCATCGACTACACGGGCGGCCTCAAGCACGAGATCCTGCAGAGCCACGGTACGGGGCCCGGGTGGGCGCGCGGGGCAGGCCCACCGCCCGCGCCACTCAAGCCATGGCGGGCCGAGGGGTGCATCGGGAGGGCCCGGCCGCCACCTCCCCCGTGGCGCCGAGACCCCCAGGCCGCTGTGACTTTTTCTCCTCTGCTCGCCCGGTTTGCTTCGAAGCTGCCCCGACCTCCTTGTTAATTAGGAGTGAGCGCGAACACACCGGGAAACCCATCCCGGCGCCGCGGGCTGCGGCGGGGACAGAAGTGCGTGCGGGCCGGGCCGCCGCACCTGCCACCTCCGCCTCCCTGGGTTGGGTGCCGCTTGCCCCGCCCGGCCCGGGGGTCTCCCGGCGTCCCCGCGGCGGGGGTCCCTCAGGCCAGTGGAGCTGCAGTTGCGTTGGACCCGGGGGTCTGGGCGATAAGAGGGTCAGTGCAGGGAAGCCCCCCTCCTCCCCTGCTCCGTAATCCTTGCCGGGGGACTGACTTTTCCTCTTTTTTCCTAATTAGAAAGTCGGGTGTTATTCTTAGCTGTGGGTTAACAGGACAGCCGCTCCTGCAACTTCATAATTTGGCTGCTGTGTGGAAGCAGCTCGTCTCCAGCTCCGCGGCTGCACTGACATGATTCCGAGGAAACTAGCTGGATCAGACTGTTCAGCTCCCCTAGCGTAGCCGGGGATGAGACTCAGGAAGCTCAGGCAACTCTCCTGAAGCAAATTGTGGCACAAGTTCTTAGTTACTTGCTTTACCTGGTCAAGTTTTCACTTGTTTTCCTCTTAGAAAACAGATTTTCTCTAGGAGGTGTTTTACCTAGATTATTTTATTGTTATCCTGGGCCCTGGGGGCAGATACTTTGCCAGAGTTAACTTGTGGAAGCTGATTGGGTTTTTGGTTTTGGTTTTTAAATAACATTAGAGGTTTAGGATCCTTAGATTAACATATTCGCACTGATGATTCCTTCTGATCAAAAAGTAAAGGACTTTGTTTAATGGATTTATTCAAAACTTCTCAAACTTTTGAAAAGAAGGTTTGGTAGCTGGGGTGAAATGCACATACTTGTGGCCGGTGAGATGAAGGCAGTGGCACCAGCTGGGCTTTTTTTTTTCTTTTTTTTCCTCCTCCTTCTACACCTGCCTTTCCCACACTGCTTTCAGTTGAGAGAGAAGTGCTAGTCCATGATGAGGGAGTCTAATAACATCATCTCGTTCTGGACACAGCAGCAGTCACTTTTAAACTTTGGGGAAGAAGCAAATCTGTAACTATGGTGGGGAAAGGAGTTGAGTATTAATATGGCAAAATGAACAGACCTAGATGGCTGCTTGTGAAGGGGAAGTGGAAAGGGGGCGGGAATCCTGGGAGATAAAGCTGAAGGGCTGAGGAAGATAGAGTCAAGGGCTTAATCTTTCCTGGCGGCTGAAAATGCATAGATGGAGTTGGGGAGAAAAGTAAGGTCTAGGATGGTTTCCTGGTGTCATTTCTACAGAGGAGAGTGAAGGACGTCACTGAGGCTGCAGGGAGGAAAGGCTTTAGGGTCTCACTACAACCTTGAACTCTGGGAGAATGGAGGGCCACCCAGGAGCCAGCAGTAAAAGAAAAGGGCAGGGGCTTAGACAAAGAGAGGTTGGTCAGGTGGTATTTGGCTTTTGGGAATCAGTGACCCTTTGTGCTTGTGGTTTCATAGAGCTGTTAAACTAGATTACAGGGAGTTGGGACGAAAAATGTGCAAACTGAGATGTAAGGGATGGAAGGTGTGTCCCTCCCCACCGCTGGAGAGGAAATCTTTGTCTTGTTAAAGGCTGGAAGGAGAAGAATGAGTGAAGGGTGTAGACTTGGAGAGGTGGAAGGAACGTTTCCTTTTTAGGGAACAGGTTAGAGATTGAGGGGTTGGATAGGCAGAGTTTGAGAGAAGATGGAAAGTAAATTACTTTTCTTCCATGAGAGAGACAGACAGGGTATTAACTCAAGGGGGATGTGATTGTGAGCCTCGTTTTAGGGAATTAGGGCCCATCCAAGTTGGATAAAATAATTGGGAGAAATTGCTGAAGCAGGGATTTCTTTTAGATGTCTTTGCTTGGTGCTGGAGAACTTTTCAAGGAATTTATGGTCTGGGGGTATTAGCCATACGGTATGCCATGATGAATTGTCTGTGTTCCCCTTTCAACCTCTTGTCTACCAAATTGCAGTCTTATATTGGTATTGCTTTGATTTTCTTTAATAATAGGATTAAGGGACGAAAAGCAGTTATAAAACATGAAAGAAAAATAAATACCACAAGTGCCAGGTCTAGTTTCCAAAATAAAATCTTTCTGATGTATTCTTATGTGTGAAGATAAACATCACGCTTTGGTATCTGGGTTATGGAATTTTTCAAAGCAGATAATTTCTAAAGTTCTCTGCAGGCCATGTGGCGGGTGTTACATTGAATCTTAAATATGCCTCTGTCAGTCATATCTACTGAAATCTGAATTTGGAACTCCATTTTCAAGTTTAAAGGGAAGCTTTCAGAGCTTTGGAATGTACCTGTTTGGGCTAGTGATCTGGTAGGCTCCTACGACCTGGGAGAGGGGCTCCTTTTGGGACCCCATATCAGGGCTTTGAATCTCGTTCTCTGGGCTTATTTGTGGTAATATTCTTGTAAGAATGTGATATGAATAAAGTAGAATCTTGGGGATCATACAAATACCCCAACATTGCATCATACTCATGGTGAGTGACGACCTGATTCAGAAGAGTTCTTTAGCTGGTGTCAGGGGATCAGTTCAGTTTTGAGGATGAATTACATTTTCTTATGTTTAAATTTCTTTTTTCTAAGGTTGTGAGCAGATGACGATACTAAATGAGAGCAGTTAGGATAGTTTGTGATGGAAACTGATCATGCGTAAATGGAGTATGGTTAGTAAGCCCGTTGACAACCCTTATCTGCTCTCACCACCCACATTCCAGATGTGAACACTGCCCAAAGGGGGCTCGCCTGGCTTCTGGCCTGGAAGTAGTCCTACAGTGAGCCCTAAAATCTCTTTCATCTGCTGTAAATCGCCTTTATATAGCCTAGAATTCTGTCATACAAACTTTCTCCAATTAGCCATTTCTTTTAAAAATGCATTTTCTTAATTCATATACCTTTGGGAGAATGAGGGTGGTGTGGGACAGCCACTCACACCTGGTGAATTAGTTTGTGCTCTGCTGTTTAATCCACCCCTAACCAAGTCCATCCTGGGACAAGGAAACTCTTGTTTTGATGGAGGTGTCAGGCCTGTGGCAGAGGAATAATTTCAGAGTATAAGGCTCTGGGAGATAAGTGCGGGGCCTTTGACTGCCTGTTGTAGCCATTTGGGGGGGTTTCGGTGGTTCAGGGGCAACAGAGTAGTAATAGAAGTATGAAGAGGAGAATACTGACAAGGAGTTCTGCCAAAGCTTGATCCCTTCCTCTTCCTGGAGACTGACTCTGAAGGCTTTTCTTCCTGCCCTTCCAGCTGCCTTGGAGCACTTAGGGTGGTAGATGGGAGAATGGGGGAGTGATCCAGAGCCTGCAGAGGTTGCTGAGGTAAACGGGGTTCGAGATGACTGTTCATGGCAAGTGAAAGTATGTGGTGAGGTGTTGGTCTGGGAAAGGAATACCATTTTTTAGCTTAAATTTGCCAGAAGTTCAAGGATTGTACTGAGCTCTGATTCTTATCCGTAATAATTTTGATTAAACTCTAGGTGCTCTTAATTGCCCGAACTCTGAGAGGAGAGGAGAGCACTGTTGTCATTCAGTTGTACCAGACTTTCTGTGAGAGTTTCCTGTAGCGTGAAGTTTGGTCTGATTGAAGGTTCGGTGGGGTTGATGCTGTTCGTGGTCGTTCCCAGTGTCCCTTGATCTGATCTGGATATCGCACTGGTGTTTCTCTGACTTCACTCACATGTGTGCACTCTTATTTTTCAGATGGATTCATGATTTTGGTTAGGGAGATTTATCCTCATTCTAGGCAATGAGATTTGTGAAGTCATAGATTTGGTGTGTTAGGTATAATAAGCTACATACTAAAAATAAATTCGTAACGGGGGCTGGCCCCGTGGCTGAGTGGTTAAGTTCGCGCGCTCCGCTGCAGGGGGCCCAGTGTTTCGTTGGTTCGAATCCTGGGCGCGGACATGGCACTGCTCATCAAACCACGCTGAGGCAGCGTCCCACATGACACAGCTAGAAGGACCCACAACGAAGAATATACAACTATGTACTGGCGGGCTTTGGGGAGAAAAAGGAAAAATAAAATCTTTAAAAAAAAAATTCGTAACTGTTAAAATATTGTTTCACATATAGCTGAAATCACTATTCACATCAGTGGTATGGGAACCACACGTACTACACCACTTTGGAAAACCCTTGATTAACAGATAAATAGCATGGATAAATTTTGCTGATTTGACTTGTGATTACTTATATGCTTTTTAGCATTTTTTTTCTATTGGTGAATATATGTATATTTTGTTTTCCATTAGCACTTGTGTGGTAGAAGGGATAACAGAAAAGAATCATGTATTGCTGATATTCTAAATTCACATTTGGTAAAAGAAGATTAGACTGAAATAATTGAGTAACATTTTTATGACATGTTTAAATTGTACTTTGGAAAATTACAATCTTTTTAAGAGTAAAGGATGTGCCGTTTTATTATTATTATTTTTTTAGGCTATTATTAAATGGAGTTCTAATGTAGTTTCTGAAAGTGATTCTCAGGGAGTTTTCTAAATTTTAATTTTACTTATTTTGAGTAGATAATGTATTCAGAACATTATAAATTCAAATGATAAAAAAGGATACCCAGTAAAAAATATCTTCCTCCCTCTCTTTTTTATTCTTGGACCACCTAGTTGCCTACCTCACAGACAAAGATGCTAGTTTCCAGGAGAATTTTTAAGAGAATTCAGGGAAATGGTAATTTGTCACTTTGTTTTTACTTTGAAAGGGATTGGACATGTCTTTTTACTTACTGTGATTCAGGCTTAGTATTATCTCAGTTTACAAGGTGGTAAA